AGGAGAAAGAATATATGAAATACTATCATTTTTTTTCTCTTGCTGCTTTCTTATCCCCCCCAACACCCATACATAATAAACATGAAATACAGATTTTTTACTTTTTCCCCATAATTTTATTAAGATTTTAAAAAGAATAAAAGATAATACAAAGAAAAAAGAAAATACAAAAAATCCCCCTTTTTAAGAAAGCGACTTTCCACCCTCATCACAAGTAATAAACAATTTCATAATTTCTTCACCCTCTTAATATAAAAATCTTCATCCCATAACCCATCTCTTAGTAATGAACAAATCAAATAAGTAACATCTTCCCCTTATCCAATTGTCAGCAAAAAAAATCCAGAGCTCTAAAATATTACAGCTGACAAATACAAAACTCAACTTTCCACGCCTCAACTCTTAACTGTAAGAGAAATCCCATTTAAAAAAGCATTAAAAAGTATAAGCAAACCAAACCTAAAGATTAACATAACAAAAAGAGATAATTTCTTCTTAAAAAAAAACAAGAAAGTCCAATATACAACCCCTTCCAAATGCCAACCATTCCAAAGCTAATCACCCCAAATAACAACCTATCCCATTCAAATAAATATTCCATATCTGAACTCTAAACTGTTCACAAATATAAAGTAATCCCAGCATCCTAATACAAAAAAAGACCAAAATTTAACAATAACCTATCCCATTCAAATAAATATTCCATATCTGAACTCTAAACTGTTCACAAATATAAAGTAATCCCAGCATCCTAATACAAAAAAAGACCAAAATTTAACCTAACAAAAAGAGCTAATTTCTCCTAAAAAAAATTCACATAATTAGATACTAAACATTAAGGTACTAAACAATTAGGATACAGAAAATAGCTATAAAGAATTCAAACACCAAATAAGCAAATTCAGTATACCAAATGTTTCCAATTAAAATATCAGTACAGGTAGTCCTCGCTTAACCACCATTCGTTCAGTGACTGTTCAAAATTACGATGGTGCTGAAAAAAATGGACTTACAACCTCTGCCCAAAGTTACAGCTGTTGCAGCACCCCTGCAGTCACATAATCAAAATTTGGGGACCTGGCAGCCTGCCCACACTTACAACTGCAGGGGTGCTGCAATTCCCCCCACCCACCTATCTTCCCCCATCTATGCCCTTTTAGCTGCCCTGGACAGCAGCACTTGTTGGCAGCGCCAGGGCTGGGACTGAAGTAGAGGTCTGGGGCCCTCAGCAGTCTCAGCCAGCTGCAACCACTCCCCAGGCCATTTAAATATTAAATGTTTTGAATAATTTCATTCCTGAGAATATACAGTTATATTCCTTTAACCAATTTGTTTTTTCCTCAAATAGATTTAATATGGTTGTCTAAATCAATGTTTCTCAACCTCAGAAACTTTAAGACCATGCTGGCTGGGGAATTCTGGGAGCTGAAGTTGAATACATGTTCTGAATGCGCATGTGAACATGTGAAGAACATGTGCAGGTTGCGGTAACGAAGGAATAGTTCTGAAACACCTTGGGCAATAAGCGTTTTTAATATTTATTTTCCCTCCTGCCTTCATATAACATGGGACTATATATATTCTCTTCTACTGGCACAAAAGATAGTGTCAGATTTTTGAACTGTGCATCTCAGAATACCCACTGGACCGTTCCCTTTTGCTGAAAGGCCATCTGGTCACCAGGAATCAACCCTGGCTGGGCAAGGACTTCATTTACAGTTCACAGGGCAGCACCCAGCGACCTTGTCTGGTCCTGAAAAACCAAGGAGGGCCTGTCTTCATTATCACTTGGATGGAAGACCACCAGAAAATCCATAAAACAGACTAGGAACCCAAGGAAATATCCCAGAACAAGGCGATGGGGACTCCATCCCATACTTGGACTAAGAAAACTGCATGGGGGGGGGGGGACGTTTCACGCAATGACAAAAAAGAGAATTTACTTTACGCTTTGAAGATAGTTGAATCGCATTGTGCTTGGTATGGATTTCCGCCAAAATAGGTAAATAAGAGTCTGGAGCGAGCCAGATCTTCGCTATTCTGCAGCCTGGGTCCTGCGTTTCCACAATATAATACTAACCAACCCGGATTCGCACAACACACTATCCCCCCAACTGTTAGAAAGCCTATGAGCACGCCGAGCCTGCGAAACAGACCCGAGGGGGCAGACAGGCAGGGACAAGGGCTGCGTTCGCACAACGCGCTTTAGCTGCAGGCCGAATAAACCCATTTTCACGGTTCAGACGAGACGCTGAGCCACAAACTCACCCAACGAACCGGGCGCGGAGCCCGTGTTTCACGCCAGCCTCAGCGTCTCGTCCGAAAAGACAAAACCCGGCCCGCCGAAGGAAGCCCCGGAGACGCGAGTGGGCTTACCTACCTGGCCACCGTCCGAGCACCTCTGCCCGGCCCGTTCCCTCAACGCCAGCTCCTGTTTCAAATTTGAACGTCGCCTCTTCCTCACCAATGGCGAGCCGAGAGCGACGGCCGTCACGGCCACGTCACCGGAGCGGAGCCGCCCGAGCAGTCACGCATGCGCAAGCCAACGTGCGAGGACAGCGTCCAGGAGGAGGGAGGAGCTTGCCAGGGAGGCGTGGCCTGCAGCTGGACGCGGTAGGCTGGAGGACGTGCGTGGTCTCAAAGTGAAGTGGAAGAGCGGGCGGACTTCTCAGCAGCTTTCCTAGAAAATACTCGGGGGAACACGGGAACCAGGGGGAGGACTCCCTCTTGCAGATGCAAATCCCCGCACGTTGGAAATCTAGGATTATTTTTCCTCCCGCTCCCTTAAATCTACTTCGTATAGAACAAAAAAGCTTTCAAGCGGGCTGATGTGTTGGACAACGTATATTTTGTTGTTGTTTAGTCGTTAAGTCGTGTCCGACTCTTCGTGACCCCATGAACCA